TATTCCTTTAATTACGGTGATATTATTTTTTTCAGATCTATAGAGACGTAGTAATGTATCTGCATCTATTTGTTTATTAAAATGTATGTTATCACAGGCCTCCTTCTTTGTTTAAGGCCTAGTAACCTAGTGAACTAACTACAGACGGTACTACATTTTCTCATGACATGACAGCATCCCTGAGCATCGCTGAGGCAGCTATCACCGCGCGTAAGTGTTTTCGCGCCCCGCGCCGGGCGATACGCAAAACAATGCCCTGTTGTTATGGAGCGCCGCCACGAGTGTCACCTCTCTATTACTGTAAACCCTCTCTGGTCCAACAATAGTTTAAATTAGGCAAAAACAATGTCTAGTAAAGACTTAGTAAAGACTTTAATTTGAAAGTAAAGGTTTATTATACAGTGGAACTCGGATTCAACGAGGTCGCAGGGCCTGACCTAAAATCTCGTTGGATCCGAGTGTTCGTTATATTATAGCAAACAAAATTACAAGCACTGAGCAAGTAATGTATAAAGAGAAGAAGCAAGTGGTGCCTTAAATGCCTGTATACAGTCAAACCTGTGTAAGACGGCCACCCATGGTCAAGGAGAAAAGTGGCCGTATAAGACAGGTGGCCGTCTTAGGCAGGAACAGGACGGATCAAGATGAAGAAAACAAACCATTCCCATCCGAGGTCCCAATAGAAAGTAGCCGCTTTGTTTCTTGTTTTTGTTGTTGTTGGTTTGTATTTTGTTTATTTTTATTTCGTTGCTGATTTTGCGCAAGAGTGACAATAAAACGAAATGTATCAGGCGAGGAAGACCGAGTTCCATGTTAAAACAAATACATGGTCGCCACCACTCGGAGAACGAGTGACGCATTTATGTTGATGTCCATTGTTTCTTTTTTACAGACTGAGTAAACAGTGACCACTCATCTCACTTACGATGTGTGTGTATGAGGTCTGAGCGGGGCTTTTATGGGTTATGAGGGATCAAATGATTACCTCACCAGCAGCTGAAAATTGGTATCTATTGGTCAACAGTGGGAGGGGCCTACCCAACATGATCGGTTTGAGGGACTACCTTACAACAACGACAGGTGATTGAATTATGACGGCTCGCCCACAACACCAGGGGTCAATGCACAATTCATGACAAAACGTAATGGAGTCACTTTGGTGGCCGTCTAAGACAGGTGTTATTGCTTAGTGTGATAGGGGTTGTGTGTTAAAATATGGTGGCTGCGGCCGCGTTGGACAGGTGCCTGTTTTACACAGTTAAATTATATAGAAAAAACGCAAGGGGGGAAACGGACCAGTGGCCGTTTGTACAGGTGGCCGTCTTATAGAGGTGGCCGTCAGGGCAGGTTCGACTGTATTATGAGCAGTGCAAAAAAAGACCAATTCGTTTAAATGTTTAAATGCACACCTGTGTCATCTCGATAGTTTGCCAAAAAGGTGTGTTGCTGTGAAGTAGACCCTAGCATACGGCAACCTTTAAAATTTGGTTCCATAGACCAGCGCACAATTCAATACATAGTAGATCTACGTCATGACTAGGTCTAGCATATCATTGTAATATTGATCAGTTGCCGGGGGGAAAAAGACTGTGACGCGTTTGTATCTACGACGTTCCATGCCCGAACCGATGATGCCCTCCCCCCAAACACGCACACACAATCACACGTGTGCAGGCCGCCTATCCGACCCCAATACACGTTAGCCTAGAGTAGA